GAGAAAGCCACCGCGGTCCGCCAGCTTTCGGACCAGGTTCCGCATCAGGCGCAACGACTCAACTGGCAGCTCCTTGATGTCCGCCTTAAACTTGGCTCCAGTCTTGTTCACCGCACGGTTCTTAGGCACCCGACCTATGCGCAAATCGAATCGCTCCAGGACGTTGTTGTGTTTCAGGCGCGTCTTGTTGATGTTCTCTATCGGCGGAATGGGACGTTGCCAGTGTAGGGCCAGCTGCTGCTCGTGAATGATGCGGTCGATGTGATAGACACGATCCACGAGCACATTCAGCTCCTTAAAGTTGATGTCCCAAATGCGGTTGAACTTCTCATTGTTGTTTAGGCGCGCCTGGTGGGCCTTCAGCTCCATATCGTGAATATTGGCGTGCAGTTTATAGATGTCCTGCGACAGGCGATCTATGTTCCGCTTGCCCGTAACATTAATATTCTTCAGACTGCGACGAGTGCGTCCAATCGATTCATTGAGGCGGGCCACCCGCCGCTTCTGCTGGTTGTTGATGATCACGTTCTCCTCGTTGCGCTTCTGCAGCACCTGATAGTTGTAGTCGAGCTTCTCCGAGTTCATTAGCACGTTGTCGCGCGTGCGTCGCAGCTCCAGCTCCAGGCGTTCGCACTCCTTGTCCAGGCGGATGCGTGTGCTCTTGGTCAACTCCTCCTGGGAGGCGTTGATCTGCTGCGTCTGATTGGCATAGAACTGCTGGCGGGTGCGCACCAGATTGGCCTTCTCATCAAAGTTCTTGTTGAGGGCATCGAAGAAGGTGCGCCACTTCTCCACTGCGCTGACGGCGAACTGCTGGCGCTCCTCCTCGATGGTGTGGCGAAGCATTTGCAGATGCTGCTTGTGGGCTTCCTTCAGCACCTCCACCTGGTGGTCAACGCGCTCCACCAGGCAGCACAGGTCTTGTGCCTGACGCTCCCGATCGAACTCATATTTGGCATTTATGCGATCGACCTCCTTCTGGCAGGCGTCAACCATTTCATCCTTGCGCTGCATTATCTCGGCGATGCGCTTCTTTTGGTTCTCGATCTGGTCCCAGAGCATCATCGGCTCGTTGATATCCTGCAGTTCCGTCCAGCGTGCCTTAATTTCCTCGTACTTGGCCATAGTCTCGATGCTCTCGCGCTGCAGCATCACCTGCGTCTGCGTCTGCTGCGTGGCCTCAAACATACGCCGGTTCAGCTCTCGTCGCTCATTGGCCACACGCACATTGGTGACGAGCTCGGCCCCAAAGCGAACCAGCTCGTCCAGCCGCTGGCTGGACAGCTCCAGTTGCTGATCGATCAGTGGCTTCTCCGTCGCACACCGCTCGGCTGTGCCCTTCGGTGCGGTTTGGAACTGATTGCGCACCCGGCCCAGTATGTTCCGGCGACGTTCGTCCAGTTTGCGGATGGGCCCATCGCAGTGCTCGTTTACGATGAGGGAATCAATGCGCTCGTTGAAGGACTCCCAGCTGTCCAGGGCTTCGGCATCCGACTCCTCTGCCTCCTCAACGCCGATGTCAACGCCGATGTCGGATTCAATGAGCAGTTCCGCGTCTGCCTTGATGTCTTCCTCGTTTTCATCCATGATTCAATCGCTTTGCGTCTGCCTTTGCTTTGCTCTGTTTGCAATTTTCGGTGACACCCAGAGCTGTGTTATGCTCAAAGTAGATGTTTGATCGAGACATCAAAGGTTGCCTGACTGAGTCGATTTCTCAGAGACTCGTGTAAGAGGTAGCTAGACCAGACTTCTGTTATACCTGACTGAAATGAGCGAATAGCAAAATGTTGTTTGAAGATACAACAAAAAAGGGTAAACTACCAAAGAGCAAACTTGTGCTCTAAAAAATGTCATCAATTTCGTACTAGCATCATCCCTGGATTAAAGGGAAGTGAAATTTGCAACCTATCGGACTCTATCGATTATTTATCAGGCGATCTAAAGGATTTTGTGTCCATCATGATAAAAACTCTCACAGGTTACTCCCTCTGCTCCATCGCGTTCTTTTCACCAGTGAGACTTGAACTGGTACAAATGCTGACCAAGAATATACACAAAATGTCTGTTTGTGATCCGGATTCCAATAAAAAAAGACCCTCTTTACTTACAGAAAGTTCATATTATTGAGCTATGTGGAATTGGAGTTCTTTAAATCCTCAGAATTAATAAGTAAGAACGATATTGCGCACTTTATCACTCAGAAGCCACTAAATTGCTGGAAGAAACTTCCCTATACGGACGCCATCTCAACATCATGTGCCGCTCATCTTTCGCAACCAGATGCGAGGCTGCCCAGACCCATAGCTGCACCCTAGGCTATCCCTAACAAGCGCCAGCAGATCCCACGTACCCCATCGCAGTCCCACAGAGCCTCCACAGACCAGACGCCGGCCACGCCTCGTTAGCCGTTGCCTATTGTCGGGGCTGTGCGGAGCGCTTTACGAGGCCATCAATAACAGTCGGAGTCTGCCGTGGAGCAATCTCGGGTGATTCGGCTATCGGCTATCGGAGCTGGCGTTTGCGTCAGTGGCGAAAAATCTTTAAATTGTTGCAAATTTTAGTTGATTGTTGGGGCCTGTTAGCCGGACGTGCCTTTTCCAGAAGATGCTCCATCGGCCATGGGCAAGGGAAGGGGCTGGGAAAGATACATGAGCTATGTGATGGCGATCGTGCCGCTGCATATGGGGAGAATTCACCCGAGTTGCCCAAGCGAATTTTTCTACTTTATTGCGTTCGACACTTTAACGAGTCCAAATACAAATTACTCACGAGTGGTTCTGGATCAGGTTCAGACCGGGAAGACCAGCACAGGCCTGTCCAACAAATGCAAAAGTTAGGCAAAACCATAATTAACAAACATTCGGAGGAATTCGTTTTACGAGCAGCCCAGTGCCAGTGCCAGAGCCAAAGCAGTCCTCCACTTGACACGGAATTTTGATTTATTTCCCCAAGAGCGGACTCACTCAGAGTTGGGAATTGTTGTAGAGACGGTCTGTCGGGGAAGGTTGCGCGGTTGGGCAGCGCAGCAGATGATTTATCCAAGTACGCGACATTGGGAAGCGCGGAAAACTATAGGAAATCCTTTCCAGCAGTCACATAACTCTCGCCGATCGTTAGTCGGACCCACGGCTGATGTACGCCCGCGTCTAATGAAGCCGTCAGGTCGTTGTCACCAGACTTCTCCCATTTGGCCGCTCTACGTGACTGCACCTACGAATTGCATCCAATGAGCCTGGTCAGGAATGAAAGGCATGCAATTGGGCGGCTGACAAGTGAAGGTGACGCTGAAGGTGTGGCTGTGGAGGAGTAGGTGATTTTTCACGGTGGGTAAATGCAATCAACGAATCAATTGTGCTGTCTGCGATTGAATATAGAAATGAAATGGCATTACCCTATTGGGCAAAGCCAATGGATAACTTACCCATGTACAAGTATGCACTGCTCGTGTCGAGCCTTAAACAAGTTCAGCAAATAATTTTCTTGATTTTAAACATTTTTAACAAATTGGGGAAAATACAAACTGAGTAGTTAAGACTTACTTTACGTACCTTAGCCTTGAGTAAAGATCTTCTTCTAGAAAATAGTTCTTAAAACAACAAAATCAGATTACGGTATAATTTACCAACATTAACTGTTGAAACTCAGCATAATCGCAAAGGCAGAGTATACTCCTTGTAAAATCTTACGATTCTTTCATACCAACGGGATACAATTGGATATATTCGTAAATATCCAATTACGCTGAGGAAAGATGTATGTTAGCCAGGACAGTAGCCAGGACACAAATCAACTGCTTGAACTGCTTGATTTGGACTGCTTGACGCTAAACTGGTTTGAAACTTGGTTTGCACTGAAGATGCTTAAATCGATAATTTCGTAGAAAAAACTATACAAAATTACAAAATTACATCATTTTTGTTAAGTCCAATTCAGTTGCAAAATAATAATATTTAAAATTACTACCATCCCTATACTCTCTCCTACAATTGTCACTATTTTAAATGTTACTTTTGCCCAGGCTGCTCTTTGCTTCTAATTGAAGTTTTCCAGCTAAAATGTTATCCGGATAGCCGTTACATCCTCCCAGAGACCAGGTGACGCTCTATCTGTGGGATGCGGCAGCCACGGTGCGTGCGCCTGTGTTTGTCCCACGACAGCACTTGGCCATATTTTACCGCTTTTAAGCAGCGCGTAAATACTCACGCTTACTGCAAGAGTAGAGTCCATTAAACGGTCGTAAAAACTTTACGATTCCCAATATGAGATTCTCTTAATACGATTTTTTATGATATTGAAATCTCCTTTCTCTGCGAGCCCATCATCGCCATCTCCGTCTGGCGTCTCGAGGAAGCCGAACCGGCAAAACCAACCATCTGAGGCCCACAACTCGTGTCTGACTTTGCCTTGCACTTTGCTCAAATTTGCCGGTCTCCTCAGCCTGGGGGAAAACTGAAAAACCGCCTCAGGTATGATAATGGCCGTCGTCCCCCTGGCACTCCACTTCTGCCCCGCCGACCAGAAAGGGGCGGGTGCGTGTGCTTTAATGTCTTGTTGAGGCCTATAAAACACGCTCGTCATCGCATTGCCCAAATGATATGGACTCGCTGCGTCTGCGATGGGGGATGGGATGGGATGGGATGGGATGTCGTTGCAGACTACTCAAATTCGAGCTGCACGGGCTGACGAAGCTTTTGTTGCCTTATTGCAAGGACTCTAAATGCTTAAACTAACAAATCGTAATTATCTGTAAGAAGTCATCAGTAAATTAAATGCTCTGAAAAAGAACAGAAGCACATAAAAAGCATTTAAAACTGCAAAGGATGCACCCTTTGATGCTTACACAATAAGAGGATGGGTAAATAATTATATTAGCATTACATAGAGATCGTCTCCAACTCCTAACACTCATATTTCGACTCCATCTCGCTCAATGTCACTCTCTCTGTTTCAAGAAAAATCGATTTCAATTAATAATTTATCATTTTGGTCTTCTCTTTCAGATGATAATTGGAAAAGTCCCGCAGCCACTCAACTGGTGAGTGAAAATATTAAGTAGATACAAAGCGGAATGGCAGATGGGATGCATTCATTTTTACGATCTTTGTCTTGTCTTGAGTTTTTTTTTTCGACTATTTTCCTGATTTATATTTTTCATTTGTGCAATTTACAAAACGGAGCATCGTAAAAGCAATTAAAGTGCAATAAACGCGGTCAAATAAAACCACTACAAAACGCAGACAGACAGTCGACTGGATAGATGGATTGGGCAGACATTTGGCTTGCACTCGTATAAGTTTTATTGAGTACTTCGGAGTTGACTCGCGAGCGAGTGTGGATGGCACAGAGACCCATATTCCAGGCCAGCCATGGCTGGGCTGGGCAGGGATGCGACAGAAGTGACCTAAAAACCCGACCGTATCCGAGGATTAAAAAATGATAGCGTGAGAAGGCATTTTGTAATTGCCATCCGAATCACTTTCTCAAAACACTCATTCCTACCAACCGCTCATCCATGGATGGGAGGGGGAAGCGAACCGCAAGCCGAGCCAAACAAGCCGTAAACCAACGCTATAAAATTGTATAAAATTAGGGACTGAAACCGATGTGCATCGCAGAAGCGACGGGTCGGGAGAATTTATTTTACAAACAGATACTATGAGCCAGCAAACATCGATACCTCATCGTTGTTTTGAGTCAGATTTGCACTCATTTTAAATTAACCTCAATTCTAAAATAATTATAAAGTGCACAACTACTAGAGTAGGACTTTGGAAGAACGGTTAAACTCATCTATTTACCTTCCTTTATTCTACTTATTTTATGTGTTTCGTTTATTGTTTTACAAGTGTTTCTCATTGCTTGGCTTGGTTTGTTTTTATGCCTATTTTGTTTTAGATACAACCTGTCGCACGGGAGATTACAACGGAGCTGTTTCTTTTATGGTTTGTTCCGCTTTTGTTTAGGGGTCCCGTCCCAAGGATCAGCACGCAATCCCACCTCCAGCTCAACTCAACACGAATCGACTCGACTCGATTCCACTCATGCCGTTATTTCCATCCCTCTTTCGGTTTGCGGAGGCAACTCAAAATAGTGTTTTATTGCTGTAAATTATTCTTTCAGTTATTTACTTTTTATTTGCCGCTGCTCTGTGCTCTCTGGCCTTCCCGCTCGGGCAGCGTTCACCCAGTTTCAAATTTTTATTAGTTTATTACGATTATTATCGTTTAATGGGGCTCGTTTGCACCGCTGACGCTCACTCGTTATTGTTGTTGTAAAAGTTTTTGTAGTTCTTTTTGGTTGCTGCTGCTTTTGCGGTTGAGCAGAGCAACGTGTGAAGGTGTTTTATTATTTGTTTTGATTATCAAAATGAGCATTTTACATTTTTCCGGTCGTTGGGCGGACCACCTGCCCATGGCCCATGGCCCTTGGCCTATGGCTGAATGGCAGTAAATCACTGCCCGCTGTGAGTGCTCCGTGAGCATGTGCGAGTGCACCCAGTGGGGCCAGGCACTCACTCCTTCATTCGCACTCGCAGTACGACCCATAAACTTAAGACAAAGTGTGGCAAAATGCTTAATTTGGAATTTATGAGCAATTAATTTTAAAATTCTCTTGTGTCCGTTAACGCTCCTCCACCACCACACCCCAACCCCACCACGTCTGACACCAAGCCATAAAAGATCCGCTAAAATTTGATTATTTAGCCACTCCGCTGATTGATCATTATTCAGTTGTTATCGCTCAACACGAACACGGGATTTGGCAATCCGAGCCAGGCCAATTGGGCAACGGCCATAAAACTACTCGAAAGCCAATTACAATTGAATTATTCGGGTTGGTCGTAAATCGAGAATCATATTATATTTGACAGCTACCTTAGAAAGAGAGAGTGCATGTAGATAAGGGAATTTAAATATAATATTACATATAGAAAATGTAAACACTAAAAATGCATAAGTTAAGCATAAATTTTAATATATTTAAATGTATTAAGTACTAGATTAAGGTATTTATGTAAAGCTTCTAAGTTAAAATGATTGTGATACTGAAAATGGAAATAAAACATTACAACTGTTCCCGCTTTAATTGTGTATTGAAAAATGTACCTGTATCTATTTATATTTATAATCTTTAGCATCCCTGGCATATACAATAAAACAATGGTAAGAAATTTAAACATATTAATCGAGCTCCAGGATAAATACAATTAAATAATGTAATAATAAATAAATAACAATTTTTGGATGAATTAACCAAAAAATAGCTACAGGCCTATGGCCACAACCCACAGTCCTCTTATCTTGGAAGAGGGCACTTCTGGATGCCATCTTACAGGCGGAGATAGAGAACAAGGCCCGACAAGTGGCCAAGTTGAGAAATTGCAGATTCGTTTCATTTCCGCATAAATTCGCAGCCAAACGAGGAATCTGCTCTATGACGGGGCAGAGAGTGGAAGAGTCAGGGAGGGAAATGTCTGTGTTGTTGTCCAATTCCAATCGTAAATTTGAAATTTTTCATAAAAATGTCATAACAGCAATTCCACTGACAAGGGCAGAAGGCGATGAGAGAAACATAGAATGGAAGAGGCAGAGTGAGTGAGAGTGAGAGAGAAGGCGTCAACGGGAAAGAGCAACAACAGGCGGCGGTCGAAAATAAAGGACAAGAAATGAGTTTTTGCAGTGTCGGCGTTTTTCATCTCTCCAATTTATGGATTTTTTGTGATTTCTATCGTGGCGACAAACCGAGAGAGGAAAGCGTGCAATAAAAAAAGGAAATACAAATTTGTTGCGACTAAATTTAGGCTAATTTGTATTAGGAAAAGCAAATCGCATCCCACTCAAGAGCAGAGGAATAATTTAATGAACAATAACATTTGCCCAAACAGAGTATAAAACACTTACGAAAGCTCCAGACACTGGCCACGCACTCAAATCACACTCAAAGGCCACTCAAAGCAGATAGTTTTGCTCAAGAAATGCGACCGTTTTTGCCGGCGCTCGGCGCATTCGCAATTCGCATTCTCACGTTATAAACATCAAAAATAAGCATCCATTCGAGAGCGCACTAAAAGCCAGCGAAATCGTATAAGAAAAGGCCTCACCAAAGCGACTCCAACTGCGAAACCACTCAAAAATCACTCTTACTCGACGCGACGCGACGCTCTTTCGCTCAGCTCGCGTCTCTCTGCTGCTCAGACCACAGACGGCCATCATGGCAGAGAGAGCGAGAGAGAGAGAGAGACAAAGCGAGCACGAGTGCCAGCTGGCCTCCCGCTGCACAAGACGACTGTGTGTGCGAGGGAGCGAGACAACCCGATGCTCCCAGCAGCGCTGCCATCTTTCTTATTGCCGCTGTCGCCGTCGGCGCCGGCAGAAAGCGCTAGCATGGTGTATGGTGTATGCTGAATGCTGAATGCTGTATGGGTGCATATGCGACACGATATGCGTGTGTTTATGCGCAACGGCAGAGTGCTTGAAATGAATTGCTGTTGCTGGCGGACGCAGCGGACTGTTGTCACTGCCGCCTCAGCATCCAGCGGCCCATAAGAACGCTCGCATGGCTTTTGTATTGCGCCATAAACGTTTCGCTGCTCGTAACGCCACAACGGCCGTCGCGGCACTCTCTCGACACGGAAAAGCATGTAACCAGTCGCCCAGACAGACAAACTCTCCAAAAGCGCCCGCGTTTTCCACGTCGCCGACGTCGCCGTCGTAGTCGCGTCTCTGCCGCAGTCTCTGCCGCCTTAGCCACAGCCGCTGCCTCTCTGCCAGCGCTGGCAGCAAGAATTACCAATTACACGAAATTTTTATACTCTTTTAAAAATTTCGTTTTATTATAATATTTATTATCGTGGCGCGCAGTAGTGTCTGCGGAACAGCGCTCGCTCAGCTCTCAGCTCCAATCGCCAAAGCTCCACGCTCCACGCTCAGCCTTCCAGCCACCACTCGACCGATTCAGATTCCGATTCTGTTTCCGATTCGCCGTGTTTATTATTATTTTGTGCTCGTCTTATTGTCACTTAACTGTTATAGTGCGGTTTATAGTTTATGTTTTATAGTGCCACACAGCAGCAACACACAGCAACGAAACATCCTCTGAAATAAAACAATGCGAGTATAATGCCAAATCAGAAGTCGATCGGGAAAACTGACACTCCGAAAGCCATCAAAAATTAAACCGTGACCCCACAAACTGTCAAAACAAGTGTGTGTGTGCAGTACATAAAAATTAAAAAGTCATAAAGTTGACATCGTAAAAGGTTCGAGAGTTCGAGAGTTCGATTTCCGCCCTCTACCTGTGGGGCCGGCAAAGAGAGAGAGAGAGAGCGACAGAAGATCAAAGTGTTTTACGGCATTTTAAACAAAGTAATTAAAGCAGAACTGAGCCAGAGAAAGCCTTTCTCCCTCCCAGTTCGAGTCACAGTCACAGTCCCAGCTCCAGAGCCACACACGCACTTGAAGAGTCGTAAAAGGAAACGCTGTGAATCATAGCCAATAGCCGTAAAAACATAACGCGTCCGAGTGCCGTCGCCGTCATTAAAAGTCCCGCGCCTATAAATCACCCGACGGCAGGCCAGCACCAGCACCAGCGCCCCACCCGTGCATTTTCCGCGTAATTGATGGCCGATTTTTAATTGCTTTTACAACAAATAAATGTCCCCACCCACACACATCACAGTACCAGAACAACACCAACAGCAACAGCAACAGCAGCAGCAGCAGCAGAAAGTGCAACTGCAGCAACACGGCAACCCGAAACCATATGCAAATTTAACAAATTTCGTTGTGAATCCTCAATTTCGTTCGAAAAGCATTGAACAAATACAAACTGCTCGCCAATTGGAAGGCGCTTTCCAATAAATTAAAATCCACTTTGATAGAGAGAGCCCCAGTCGAGCTCTGAAAGGTAACGAAATGCATTCTCACCGTCTTCCCTCCATCTGCAAGATCAAAAAGTAGAAAAAAACTCGGGCAAATGGCAAAGTATCTTCTCTCTACACCTCCTCTATACCTTACTTTCCCCGTAGCTCTCTACTAACTCCTTTGCCATCCCATAAACATTCTTTTAGTGTACTAATCTTGGAGATAGCTCTCCGCTCACAACCCCAAGTAGTTCTACTAACCCTTTGGCATTGTGCAAGCAAAATTTGTTAAAACTAAAGCACAAGAAAAAGCAAAAAGAAAGAAAAAGAATTTCCACCCGAATATTTTGTGGCAGTTGAAGAGATTTATGTCCAATCTGAACATATTCAATTTGGCTAATGTTCTTTTTATGTTTTCCGAACAGTCTCTGCTGATACATATACCTAGAAAATATATATCGCATTTGAGTATATACTTATCTGAACGCTCAGAGCAGCATTTGTTTTGGCTGTATTCGGTTTTTGTTTATCACAAATTTTAGTGGATCTCAAGTTTATTTTCTCTGCTTTATGGGATTTTTAGTGCTCCTTAACTTGATCAATTTGATGTTTGATTTATACGCAGAATAGAGTCATTCCCATGGGATTATAATTGATGCGAGAGAATGAGCATCCAAAGATTTAAAGTTTTCCAATTTTGCTGCTTAAATCAAGCGAATTTCCACAATGAGTTCGAACAAAATTTGTTAAAGAGAACACGCGAAACACAAACACTCAACCTATCTACTCCCCGATTCAGAATCGATCCAGAATCACTCGCAAGACACAAGCTAGAAAAACAAAGATAAAAAGCGAAGACGGAACACTCCCAAGAACACAAAATATACCGAGAAGTAATCGATCCTAGCCAAGACTCAAGTTAAAAGAAAATAAAATATAAATATCCAGAACAGACTCGACTCCGACGCATTCGACGATTCGACAATTCGACGACTCGGCGATTCTCTGCCGGAGAGCAAAATATGTGCAATGTCAAAATTTGTTTTCGATAGTATGCTGCCAAAGTACCCACAGTTCCAGCCATTTATCAGTTCGCACCTAACCAACACCCCCCCAACCTCGTCATCAGCAGCCGTCGCAGCCGCCCTCGCAGCAGCCGCAGCCTCCGTCTCAGCCAGCTCCAACACCTCGGCGACCGCCAGCAGCAGCACCAACAGCGGCAGCAGCCACCTCAGCCTGCAGACCGGCTCGCTCTCGCCAGGATCCAGCGCCCTGCACCTGGGCAACCAGCTGCACCAGCAGCACCTGAGCCAGTCCTCCCACTCGCCGGTTTCATCCTCGTCGCCCTCCTCCGCGGCCCTCTTCCAGCAGCAGGCCCAGCAGCAGCAGCACCAGCATCAGCAGCTCCACCAGCAGTCGCAGTCCCAGTACTCCTCGCTCTCCGCCGCCCTCCAGCTGCAGCAGCAGCAGCACATCAACAAGCTAGCAGCCGCCGCGGCTGCCGTCAACTCACAGGGCTCCCACGCTCACGCCCACTCGCACGCCCACGCGCATCAGCAACTGCTGCTAACACCACCCTCGGCCGGCAACTCGCAGACCGGGGACAGCAGCTGCTCCCCCTCGCCGTCGGCCAGCTCCTCGCTGCACCGCAGCCTCAACGACAACTCGCCCGGATCCGCGGCAAGCTCTGTAGCAGCCGCAGCAGCCGCTGCTGCCGCCGCCGCCGCGGCCAGCTCTTCGTTTGCCATCCCCACAAGCAAGATGTATCCGTACGTGTCAAACCACCCCAGCAGCCATGGAGGCCTCTCTGGCATGGCTGGCTTCTCCGGACTGGAAGATAAATCCTGCAGGTGAGTCCATGATCCATTGTTAGTCAGATTCTATAGTTGTTCCCATTCTATTTTGAGACTGAAACCTCGTCAGTGATCGTTAATGAAATCCATTCATCAGTCCATTATCCCCACTCTTGAACTAATGGATGTGGATCTATGAGTTACTCTCCAAAGATTTACACATTCTTCCCCCACTAATTGTGAACCTAAGTCTCATCTTCCAAGAACTGCTTTTTCATATATTTCTGGCTAATAATCGTAAACTCGAATATTCACATTCCGAATGCTAAGCGAAAATGCCCAAAGCAACCATCTGGGAAACCTTCCCAAACCGCAACCACAAATCCATTTCGAATGTGCTCTAATTATCGGCTCGGCCCTCTGATCCATCGGTCCTCGTCTGCTGGTTGCCCATTGAGAATTCACATTGAATGGCCGTAAAGACCGGAATGGGACAATTAGAGAGCGCTGCGGTGGCTGCTGGTGGCCATTTGTCGCCGACCACGAGATTCGCACGCACGTTGACCTTCCGCTGTGGCCATTTGCATATTGGCCCGTTACAATGGGTTCCCGCTGGGTGGGCGTGTGGGGGATTAGTGCGCAATTAGAGGCAACCGCAGTCGAAGTGGGAATGGGCAATGGGAATGGGCCCAGTTAGGGTTGGTCAGGGACTGTTCAATTTGCATTTGACTTGGGCCTCTTGTGCCGGAAGCAACCAAACACAATCTTATGCTAATCGATTTCTCTCTCTCTCTCTGTCCTGCAGCAGGTACACGGACACCGTGATGAACAGCTACCAGTCGATGAGCGTACCTGCCTCGGCGTCCGCCAGCTTCGCACAGTTCTATCAGCACGCAGCCGCTGCCTCGGCCGTGTCCGCCGCCAACGCCGGAGCAATGGGCGTGGACCCACTGGGCAACGCCTGCACCCAACCCTCCTCCGGGGTGGTGCCCGGTGCCGGCGGTGCTGGAGGCGGTATTGGTGATCTGCCGCGGTATCCCTGGATGACGCTCACAGGTGAGTCACGAATGAATCCATTCATACGGCAGTGTGTACACAAGATATGCATAAATCAGAACCACTCAGTCGGGCATTAGCTGGGGGAATTCACACCTCGATGGCCGCTGGCCCATATAAACATTAGATAAACGTGGCGCAAACGTTTTGTTTTCCAATTCCAATCCCATTTCGATTCCGAATCCAATTCCGAAGCATAATGAACACTTTGCGGGGCACTTCCAAGTCGTTTATTTCGCATAAGTCTTCCAGCCGAGTGCTCCCCGTGCGATTCAAATTCGAAACGAAATGTTTCTCCCGCACTGGGAGAGGGAGGAACTGGTGGACAGACTGATGGCAACAAAGAGCTAAAAAGTTGGCAGTAAATAAAAATGAAAATAGTTTAAAATACCCCTTGTTTCTGGTGTGTTGTGTGTGGATCGGTTCATCGCGTCGACTTATAATTTAAATAGCCTCAAGGTTGCCACACACAAGCAAACGTTCAGCTGTGCCCCCACGCATACAAACTAGTCTCGGGCCCGAGATACAGATACATTTCTGCGAACTCTTTTTATGCAGCAAACGTAGTACGAGCGATCCGCTCGGAATTTATGTGGGTCACTTTAATTTACGCGATCCCATTCGATCCGATCCGATCCGCTCATTTTCGAGCGCCTTTCTGCACATTTCCCTGCTCTGCACTCAATTTCCACGATGCCCAAGAAGGAGGAATTGAACGACTTGAGTTTTCGCCATGCGCCGCGGGTTGAATGCCTTCTGAGTTATGGCGGACAGCGTATGAATAGACTGTCAATTGGCCAGAGTTATGAACTGCACATCAGTCGCCAAAATAGAGAAAACATCGGGCGATCCATTTGCCCGCAAACGGCTGGGACACGGACTGGATTTATGCCAAATGCATGTGAATTAAAAGCATGAATAATTGCGGTTGGATGCGAGTTTTGAGGCCTTTTAAAATGATGTATAAAATGTGGTAGATGCCAAACGAAATTTGGGAACCCAGCAGGCATATTTTATTCACTCCATTAGTGGAAGATCGTTGATTATAGCCATTTGGGATTGGCAAACAACACATCGGGGTGGGGTGTGAACACGATCATTCATTCATGCAGATTCCCCGTGAATTGATTTTTGATTGCAGAACAGGGCATCCAGTGGGGTTGAATATACAAACATTTATTGATGTGGAAAGCATTCGCTTGCGACACGCCCTTTTATATAAACGGCTAATAGAACCATTTGCAAGCCAAACCTGTTGGACCAACAGCGAAAAAAAACCCGCCGCATTGGCATCGACATCAACATCGGCATCGGAGCGGGTCCAAAGATAAACGGTATTCCGCACAATGAGATATTTTGCATATCTCCCGCTCACAGCACAAAGGCGATAAAATTGTCAACGAGATCATAGACGACGCGACGACTGCGACGACTGGCTGCGATGAAAGTAAATACGAGCATGACGCCATTATGGCAGCCAAGTGCGCGACACGTCGACGCAGCCAGCCACTTCCCATCCCCTCCTTCCCGCCCACTGTGCACTCTCGCAGATACACACACACACACACACACACACACACACACACACACACACACACACACACACACACACATGCATTTATCCATGCAGTTGCATGTGAATCGCGGGACTTGATGGAGTCGCGCAAGAATTGTCCGTGTCTCCACTCCACCAGCAAACTCTTTCCTCACGTCTAGCGCTGGCTTTCACTTTGCCTGCAGTGTGCCAGCCAAGCCTCCAAACCCACCCAGAGACCACATCCAAGACCAAGACCAAGACCCGGACGAAATGGCAACAGCAACAGCAGCAACAACGGCAACGTTTTACAGCTGAATGCTTGCCAAATGCAATTTAACTAATGAATTTTAATATTTTACGCCAAAGCGTCTGAATGAATTTTCATTTTCACATCGTTGCACCGACCCAAAAGACTCGGGCCACAGCGTCAACAATGTTGCAACTTGCAGCGAATGGTCTGCTGCGGCAGGGGCGTGGCATGGGGTCGGAAGCGGGGCGGATGGCGGCGTGCCTGTGCCTGATTATGCTGATAAGAAAGCAAAGAGGTTAACTTTTCTTAATTATCTGGAAAAGCGCAGCCCGTCCGCGAGGTGGATGGAAAGGGGTTTCCCCAGCTAAAAATATGCAAGCTCTGCACGCGCTGCCTGGAACGAAGGGAGGTTAAGAGGCGGTCCACTGGATGGAAAAGAAAACATTTTGGAAAACAAGAAATTATGCAAGGGACTTCAACTTCCCAGCTGAAATATTTTAATCATAATTCGTATTTCTTAGAAAATACAAGAATTGAATCGCTAATAGGTAAAGGAGAGGGCAGTGCAGTGTTACAGGGAAATCCCATTACATAGAATTATTTATCTCTTTGGTAGATTCGATACGTTTTTCCCAGTGTAGCTTCGCCTCAGAATTCTGCCTTTTGGCTGGCCAATGTCTGGAGATAAGAGCTGCTGGCCATAAATTTTGTACTCATCAATGCGACAAAGAAGAAGAAGGTCCGAAGACTCGCTCCAGCCATGGCTGTACATATTAGAGACTGTTCTGTTAGTCCGTTAGTGGAAGCAACGACCGGGCGAATGCACGGAAATTTGTGTATTTTAATTAAAAATGTGCCAGTGCTGGCAAGCGGCTTCATCTGCTTATTAATTAGGCGTCGCTTCGGCGGAGGAGGAGTCGCCGACTGCCGTCGACGTGGTCTACTTGGTCAGTGGCAGGGACAGGGGGGCCACTGGCAGTGCCGATGCCGATGCCGATCCGGTCGAACTGGCCAGAGGCCACTACTTTGTTGGTGGTCCACTCATTGCAGGGGCCCAGCCAATTCTGCTTTTTGTCGATGGCGCTGACAACTAAATTGAAAGCGGCCCGATTGAGTGGTTTATGGAGGCTGCCATTGCCAGAAGAAGCATTGGACAGTGCAGGGCGCTGAACATGATTTGAGAGATCGTTCGTTGCTGGAGTCTGTTGCCGTTGCCCAGCATGATCCCCTCAAGGCTGCATGCAATCGATTTACTGGCGAGGAATTTTACATTAGCAGCATATGAATCCTTTACGTATACGCAGAAAAAAACCAACTGACGAATGTTAACCATTATTTTATTCTCTTCTCTTGCAGACTGGATGGGAAGCCCCTTCGAGCGCGTCGTTTGCGGCGATTTTAATGGTAAGTACCGCAATTACCGGAAACCCTTGAAGTTAATTCCCCGACTGGCATTGACCAACGACTGCAGCATGCGGACACTAATGGGTTATCCGCCTAACCAAGCGAGGAATATTGCAAAATGTTCATTTTTTAACGCCGGAATGTCCTTGAACGGCGTAAGACTACCTACCGCCCTCCCTCCGACTTTCACTCGCCGAACCCTTCACTGCACCCTGCACAATGCAGCACTGCATCCGGCAATTTGTTACCCGCTCTCCTCTCCTCATTCGTCACTCGCTCCTGCTGTCTTGACTCTGCGACTTTCACCGCTGTCCCGGCTTGCCTGTCATAAATCCTTGCCATTGTCCCGCCTCAGCCGTTGTATATTCATCTCGCTTTGTTTGCCGAAGTCATTTTCCAGCGAATGTCCCCGACTCGACAAAGGAAGGAGCAACTGGCAGCCGGCAAACTGTCCGCGCACGCTGTCCATGCTAATCGGCTGCTCTGTGAAAGTGGCTGGGCCGAGAGCGATCCGAGACCTGCCATGCCAATCAAGTGGCAAGTCAATACCGTAAATCACATTGATGGACGATCGATGGAATGTTGACCTGTGTTGAGGCAGAGGCCCCCCAAAATCTCGACTGGGTTACTGTGTGTGATGGCAATAACAATTACATTACGGAGCTGGGCTCGACTCGGAAAAAACTCACTCAGTTCCACTCCAAGTGATCGATTCGGCCGGTCGGAGCGGGTCCTATCGTCGATCAGCGATGCGCCTGTTGCTCCGGGCGTCGTTAAATGGCTTTTTATGATCATTTTATGAACTATTTACGATTTTACGCATGGTCTTGCGCCGTGCATAACGATCATCTCGATGTTGGACTTGTTGTATGGTGACTACGACTACCGCAACGAGCACCGCAACAACCGATACGATCCCTCGTTTAATGGGCTCGATCTGTGATAATGGCGCTGATTATGCTGCCGCAGCTCGATTGTTTAGCGAATCTCGGCGTGGCCATATGTGCAGCTCGTTACAATTAGTTCAACGACATTGCCGTACAAGTACAATAAATGTGTAGACAGGCACACAATCAGGGGAACCAGTGTCGGATCGAATCGCCCACAAACACGGGTGGCGACTGTAGATGGTGGGGTACAATTACTATTACAATGGACAGCCATTAAACGGCATTCAAATTCCCATAATACTCCATTGTAATTGATCGACCAACAGCTTACACTTTTAATCGAATAGCAATTCAAAATTTCAGATAGTACTAGAGACATTCATAGAGATTTAAAGGTTATATCATACTTAACACTTTGTTGATGATATTATCCATCTATTGCGGAGACAAATTACTATTAACATCCAGTGAATCTTTCATTAGTAATCAATCGGAAGTAGTGGATATCCATTTATTATTTTTATAGTTTAAATGATTTGAACATTGCGGTGTTAATAGCTCTCCAAATTGATTGCTGTTGTATTGTAGATTGATGTTCGGCTCCCGTCCTTTTGGCGAATGTGGCATGTAATTGCGAACCGTTTAATTGCGCTCGACCACTGGGAAAACAGTATTCGGCCACGCAGTCTGGCCGGTCTGAAATCGGAGTGGCGATCGCAGTAGCTCTAGTACTGCAAATACTCGTGGTGGTTGTGGGCCTGAGACCCGCGGCGGAACGTGCCGTGGCTCTGCTTTCGACGTCACAGATCGCTTGATATTTGAGTTGGTTTCGAGCCCTGAACACTCCCCGCTACTCTCCGCTCGCTGGTGATCCTCTTTTGTTTGCTTTGTAAATAAATCTCTGGCGTTGGCGTTGAGCGGAGTCGTTTGGCCAATTTACAGCGCTAACAGCCGCTGTTTGACAAGTAATTAGCTCCCCAAGCTTCCATTCAGATTTCTTGGGCTTGGGTAACGTTACAATTTTTCTTTGCAGATCTCCAGGGGGGATTTTCATCTGTAGAGCAAGGAATATTGATTTAATATGGGAGAGGAGTTGATCTTTCTGTCAGGAATTAGATGGGACTCTCAGAAGTGTTTTTTCCTGAAATTAATTCATAATATATTGAAGAGTCCGCTAACTTAATCTCAGAATTGTCTTCTACAAGCTCAGCGACATCTTCATTCGCATCCGCTTCATGGCGATATGTGCAACAAAATGAATTATTTTTATTAATTTTACATGCTACAATTATACATGGCCCATGATAAGCTTGGAGAATGGTTTCCGATTCGCAAGCTGCTTGCTCGAGGATCCATACTGGGGGTGTCTCATCCGCTATGTCGTCTCAGGCGGCGAATATCAATTATTCGGAATTCAATCAAGATCGGGATCTCTCTGAGACTCCCGACGGAATCTCAATGTCAGTGGCGAAGCGAAGCGTCTCCGCCCGGACAGATAAACGCCGCTGCAGGCCGCGACCCTGTCCGACCCGGCAGCCACTTAACGGCACTGTCTGTAGCGCTATCTCCCTTGCATGTACTGTGCGGTGTATACGTATGTATGTATGCATCTGTGGTGTGGCTGTATCTGCTGGTGTGGATTGTGTTTGGGATGGGGATGGGGATGGGGCTGTGATTCGGACTGTGAGTGTGGGCCTGGACATGGACAGGCTGCAAGGGTTAATTTATGAGGCGCGATAAGCGAATTCCATTTCGTTTCGTTTCGGGTTTTGTTTAATTTCCGATTCTCTCTGTGTTCTCCCTTCCTCTTTCTCTCTGTCTCTGTCTGTTTCTGTTTCTGTTTTCGTTTTTGTTTTTTCTTTATTTTATTTTGTGTTGGCGTATTTACATTTGGCGCGCTCTCTCCTTCACTCCTCCTGGGGGAGTGTGTGCTGGAGTGAGGGTGGGTGGGGGGTGTATGTGCGACACCGTGTTATCGGCACGTTTCGTGTCGTTGTTTTTTCATTTTGTGGCGGCGGAAAATTCGAAATGACACGTTTCTGCGAGTGCGAGCGGAGCTCTGCCCTTTTTTAACTGCCCGTGCGGCTGTTAATCTGCGGTTTTAATGCCCAAGTGGCGCAAATTGGCGAAAGGGTTTGAATTACACACAGCACAGCCAGAAAGAGAGAGAGAGAGAGAGAGAGAGGGAGTACTGGGAAGAGAAAGAGGCACATAGACAGGGAAAGAGAGAGTTCCACAGACAAGTACAAAATGGCAGCCAGACTGGCGCGTTCCATGCCTGGTCCTGCAGACATGTAAATTTGCGCAGACAAAATCAAATTAAAAGCGCACACGTTCCACAGACAATTGAAGCTCCCCTCTATCCCCCCCATCATAATCATTCAGAGTTTATTCCCCTGTTACACTCACACATACATATGAGGGAATCCGCAAATGTATTGCAAGGAAAAGTTTGTTAATTTTAATTAATTTAAATATTTCATTTAACGAATTGAGATTTCGTTTTTAACTCGGCCTTAAGTCCGCATTTTGCTGTGTAACATCTGCACATTTTCCACTTTTCCTACTCCCCGTGTTGCGTTTCCCATTTTCCGTTTCGCGTGCCCTGCGTGTTACCTTCCTTCCGTTTGCAAGACTCTCTTGAAGTTGAAATTAATTTGCAAATGGCGCGCAGTTAATATTTATTTAATTACGGAATTATACAAGTCGCTCTTGGTGTCGGTTAATGTACTCTTTGTGCGGTTGTGGGTCTCCTCTAAAAATAATGCATAATTTCCACTGATTAATGGGCGAGATTATGGTGTTTACGATGCACTTCGTTCCCCTTGATGGATGCGACATAACCAGTTCGCATTGTGGGTGGTTGCCAGGCACTTGGAGTAGTTGCAGTGATCGAAGGGGACACCTCATGAAAAGTCATCAGCTACAGGCTCTTAACACGCAGATCCATGGACATATTTCCCTTTTGAGTCGGAAATAGCCCAAAACTAAACTCTGAAAAGTTCTTCGATTGACATAATTCCATATAGTTTATGGGGAAGAAAATCTCCGATTTCGTTCTTCCAGCTTCGTTCTTCAATTTCTGTCCAATTATGCAATTTCGAGAATCTTTTTGTCGATTCCAATCACGTCTATTGTATTTTGAAATCCTCCCTTGGATGAACTCGTTATTCCAGTTCTCGCCATTGTGAGAATCCTTTTGCTTGCTCCTCTTTCCCCAGAGCCTAATGAAGCCATTCAGGTAATATCGGAGAGCCTCTTGTAGAGCTTCGTAGTTTGGTAACGACCAAGCTCGACAATGCGGAGCATAAAACCTGTCGGTGACAAAGGGCTGCTGGGATCAGAGAAGGGCTCAGCGAGCATCAGCCACCATTTTCTCGAATTACTTCTATGCAGCCATTAACAAAAGACCAACTCAGCTGAGTGTGTGTGTGTGTGTGTATGTGAGCCATTAATCAACTTTGTCAGCCAACGAAAATGCCAAAGGAAATGGAAAAAACGAGAGACGCTTCTTGTGGTCTGTGGTCCCTCTACGACTTTGACTGGGATTGGGACTGGGACTGGCTCTGGTACTGGGGAATGTGACGGGGATCAGACAATAATCAATTTCTCAGGAGCCCACAGGACCACACCTCATCACAGAGGGGGGACTGGTGGATCGGTACAGGGGGGAGCCCAATGCTCGACTCGATGCATTGTTCGCAGCAGGGCGACCCGCGCATATTGAAATTTGTTTCCGCGGTGCCAGCGACTGGGCAGGGGCTGGCCAGGGGCTGGGGAGCCGGGATAAGCATGAGTTATGTGCACGCCTAGGTAAATATAGAACCCGCATCGAGCGATCGATGCTTTTTATACGAGTTTAAGTGTCACGTTTTTGTTTTGCAGAGTGCAGAGGGATGAGGTGTGGGGAAGGCGGGGCGAATGGCATTTTAATACGTCATCGTTTCCAGTCTGCCCACGCAATCTAAGTTATGGCCGACATCTGCTCAAGTTGTGCATTGGAATAGGAATTTTGAGTTCGTGTTTGTTTTTACCAAATAAGAGTAGGAATCGTAAGTCGGGGCGAGCTCCAGCCGGACCCGACCCGTGCCCACTGGGCCGTGAACGCAT